CTGCTGCTGTGCGGCCTGCTGTGCGTGCTGCTGCCTTTGACTGCACCGCAGTGCACTTTCGGTCGGTGTGTCCATAACATCACACCCCTCCTAGACAACGAGCTTGTCCTCAAGCTCGAATTCTAGATACGTGGCTTGGAACTCTGCCAATGAATCAAACGGCTGCACCCTATCTCTCGGTCCACCAACAGCATGAACAACAGGGACTGCCCCGTAGCTCAGTGCATAAAGCTGGTTCAGTCCACATGGCTCAGATCTAGAAGGCATGAGTAGGATGTTTGCACCAACAGTTATTCGATGGGCCATTTTCACAAAGAAACCAACCCAACCCCTGACTTTGTCATGGTGTTGATTCTCAAAATGTTTGAGAAGCTGTTCCCGGTCAGGTCTCCCATTGCCCAACATGACTAGTTGCACATCCTGGTCCACCATCCAAGGAATGGACTCAGCAACGAGATCAACACCTTTTTGATGGTCAAGCCTGCCAATGAACCCAATCAGAGGAACATTCTCCCGAAGAGGAAGACCAAGCTCCCTTTGTAGAGCTGCTTTGCATTGAGGCTTGCCAGTCTGAAGAGTCTCCGCGGGGTAATTGGTGTAGCCATCCGATGCCAGGTAAACATCTAATTGTGGGTTTCCTTCGTTTGCATCAATCCCATTCACGATGCCCTTCAGCTTCCCATCAAACTCATTTATTTTTTGATGCAGACCCCAGCCACCTTCTTTAGTTTTCATCTCCCAGGCGTAACCATGGCTTACAGTGACTACACAATCTGCTGCTCTCCGGCCAGTTGCAAGGACATTGAAGTGTTCCCCACCTCCTGGGTCATATAGTTTGAAGTAGTTTTGTGGAAGATCCACATAACGAAAATCGCATACTAGACCATGACCCTGGTGTGCTATGTTGTGGATCACAGGAACGCACCGGGTATTACTTACAGAAGGGAACCTCAAGAGCAGCCTTACCGAAGAGAACCATGCGTTTTAAAATATCCTCTCGGCCTCCCCCATATATATTTTTCTCAATATTACGAAACATAGGGTTGTCCATGAACACAAAATCCATGCCATCAATATAAGCTTGAAAGAAAGTTACCTCCATATCCTGCCCTTCCACCTTATATCTCTTGCGCACTCCTGTTTCTTGGGCCTCTGCATAGTTACCATACCGTAGTGCCACAACCATAACTCTATGTCCACGCCGAGCCAAAGCCTTCGGTAAAGCCCTAACAACATCGCCAAGCCCACCTGTCTTCGACAAAGGAGCGCATTCTGCAGGTACCAATATAATGTTTGTGACTTTGTCCCCGGCCACAGGAGGAGACTTTATAGTTTCATCCTCCGGGCGTTGATCCTTGGGAATAACTGCGGCTGTAGGGGCAGTGATTTGTTGTTCGCTAGATGCCTCTGCCCAGTCCGGACAGTGACTGTTTGTGTTGGCGATTCCCTCAGAACTCCTTTCTTTATTGGAGAGGAATGCTTCCAGGTGGCGTCGCAGCTCCCGGACATCTTCCTTGACTTCACGAACCTCCATGCTGGTTTCTGCTAGCCTATGTTCAAGTTCGTTGACCTTTGATGATAGCTGCTCCATATCGCCCGTGACGTTTGGCTCTGATACCAAAATGTTATGGGCCCGCGCGTAGGATCTCGTCACGGGTCGGTCCACGGTGAGAAGGCCCTACTTCCCCTTGCGCCTTCCCTTGCGTGCAGACCCTATTGTGGAAAACTGAATGGGTGATTTGTCCAAGAGACCACCCGAACTCTTCTCACTCTTTTTCTTGGCTGGAAAACTGAATGCCTTTATTTCAATTCGTAGCTCCTCAAAATAGGAAATTACAAAAGGAAATTCCTAATTAATCTCAAACTCTAACTTGAACTCAAACTCCTAATTACCTACTCCTAATGGTAACACAACTCTTACTTAAGATAAGATAAGATAAAGATAAGGATAAGGGATGAGGAATGGTGTAGCTGGCGG